ATATATACACATATATATATATATATATATATATATATATATATATCTCAAATATCAGGCTTAAATCTCCGATTTCTCATTTTTCTTCTCTAAATGCTGACTTTATTCTCCAAATTTTGATCTTTTTTCCCCTCAGAACTCTTGAGATAAAAGCCAGATTTCTGACCTTTTTCTCTCAGAAAAGGCAGAATTCTGGCTACTGACATTTTTTTCAGAATTCAGAAGTCATAATTCTGAAAATAAAATAAATATATTTCATCATGGCCCCAAACCTCTTCCGTACAAAAGAGGTTTAAAATGAGAGAAACAAAATGTGAAGAAAAAATATATAGAGAAACATGTCTCAGTTTTGATATCTAGGTCAAACTTTTTGACGTGTTTTGTCAAAATAAAAAAGTCAACATATTAAAATGTATAACACACATTTCAGATAAATGTCTACAATTGTATCTAAATCAAGATTTCCAAATAATATCTGTTTAGTTGCTGATTAGTTAAAAGCAAATAATTAATTTACTTTTTTCTTCCCTGAAGTATACAAAGAGTCCTGTGTCCCAAATGTTAGTTTTTCATAAATTACCACACTAAAAATGTAACACAGTAAAATGTGACCTTAATTTTTACAATTTCTAAAAAAAAAAGAATGCAAACATTGATGTTGCAGGAACAAAAATCTAGTTACACATATTTTAAACACAGTTTTCTCTTTGAAACTGCTGCCTCACAGCTGAAATCACCTTTATGTTTTCCAGGAAGACGCTCGCATTCACATGATATACAAATCTTTTGGACGAGAGGGACTGAGGAATCTCTTTGGTGGTAAGATGGCAGCTGAATGGGAGGGACACCTAACTGGAAATTACAATTAGCAAAGGAGCTTTTTTGTTTTGTAATATATTCACGAGTGAATATAATTCTTGTTTTTGTTTATAAGGCGATTTACCAGAGCCTCCGTTCCCCAGCCCCCCTTTTCCTGGATCAAAAGTTGTTCACTGGAGAAAAAAGAGACAAGTACGTGTTTGGTGCGGGTGTATTTGTTGAGAAATTATTATAATAGAAACGCTGATGAGCTGATAATTACCTTGTTGATGCTGTTTGTTCAACACTGATTGCTCTGTTTTGCACACGCGTGTTTGAAGATAATTATGAAGGCATGCTTTTCCCCCAACACATTTGTTCTCAACCCGTCTGTTTTCTCTCATTTTACTGTTTTTCTTCACCGTCCGGACTCATCTTTTCAAACACGTGCAGTCAGTCTGCAGCTGCATGCGTCTCAGCTCTCCAAGCTGCTCTCGCATTTTTACCAATCTGGCAAAGAGACACGTTTTGTTTCGCGTTTGAAAGTTCAAACTTATTGATCTGTTACTTTTGAGTTGCATGCGACGCAGGAAACATGAGTGGGCCCGTGAGTTTGCTGCGCTATTCTTAGATTCTCATTGATATGCAAAGTCTTGGCTGTAGAAAAGTGTGATGGGGAAAAAAAGAGCGTTTGTTCATCTATTAGAAATAATTAATCTGCTGTCTTCTCTCAGGTGCCAAGATGGTCACGAAGTGTTGAAGACGAGACCAAATTCATTGAGTTGATGGTGATCAACGATCACATAATGGTGAGCTGCAACAGCCATGCATACAACTATTATACTGATTTAATGTTATATTAATTTAGATCAAATAAATGAAGAATACACTGTGTAAAGACAATCCTAAAGCCAGAAGTGTGTGTTTCTGTTACAAGTGTTTCTACCTTTATGACTTTTCAGCCCCAGTTCTTTAAAAGAAGCAGCTCAGATGAAATAAATTCAGATTTGTTGCCTTTTCACTGGTTTCATCAAACAAAACCAAATATTGTATAATTGAGCAACAAATATAAAAAATTGTGTATTGTTATATGTTGGGTTTTATTTAGGGTACGCCGTTCGAATATTTGATCGACTTTAAAATACCATTTATTGCATTTTTCGGACTATAAGGCGCATTAAGAAAAAACAAGTTCATTTTGACAGATTTTTGAGAGTCGTGTACCACATAAAATTGTTTCGAGGTCAGTAAGCACAACCAGAATTAATATATGAGGCACACCGGATGATAAGGCTCACTGTTTATTTTTGAGAAAATTAAAGGATTTTAAGTGCACCTTGTAGTCCGAAAAATACGGTAATAAAAAAAAAAGAAATATGTTTTAATACTCAAGGCTTCTAGTTAGTTAGTATTTAATGGATTTATTTAAGACTCGTCTTTTTACACTGGCATTTGGATAGCATCCTATTTCATCTGCTTTTATCTTATTGTATTCTCAGTTATTTTACTTTTATTTTTATTTCCTATTAATTATGCCTCTTATAGGATTTTAATGTGAAGCACCTCAACATTTCTTTGTCCTACATAAATAAAATTTACTTACTTGCCGGTTAATTTAAACTTAACTATAGCTTTAACAAAAGAATAAATCAACTTGTTATTTCTGCGTCAAAAGAGCTGAAGACGTGGTATCAGAACAATACATTGAGGTAAACTAGGATCACAGCAGAAAGGTTCATTACTGTGAAAAATGTTGATTAAGCAGAAAAAAAAAAGATAAAATAAGTGCATACTCTGATCAGACTACTTTTGATTTCTATCCCGTGTTTATAAATGTGTGCACACAGTCTAGATTTACATATAGACTGTGAAATAAATTGATTCCAGATCATAAATCCCCTCTTCCTGTGTTTCCCCTCTCTGCTCTCTATCTCTTTCTTCTCCTCCAGTACAAGAAGCATCGTCTTTCCGTCGGGCACACAAATAACAACGCTAAGACAGTGGTCAATATGGCTGACATGGTAAGAAACGTATCGATCCTCTTCTTGGAAAGCTCGCCACAGTCACTGTCAGGTCTTGAATCAGAGGCGCAGATCTCTTAATTAACCAACTCGCTCCACTGAATCCTCCCCCCGGCCTGTAATGTGCTTCGAGCAGCAGCCATTAACCAGGCCGACGATGAGTTTCCAGTTTTCAGTGGACTGGTGCAGCCAACAGAACTGATGTGGGGAAAGTTTAAGTATTGCAGTCGTGTTTGCTGCGTTACTGAAATCTGACCAGCTGAAGGCCCACGTCTGTAAGCTGATAGGCTGATGATGAAGCTCGGCAGAGGTCGAGCTTTTTTCCGTGTCCTTGGTGATGATCACGCGAAGCAGACTCCTTTTAGGAAGGACACATTGAATTTCAATGAGGGGGAGCTACACATTACAGCAAATGCCTTGTAGGATATATATATTTACATTCAGAATGTGAGGAATGTAAGCTGGAAAACAATCTATCTGGCATTAGCACATCAGTGTGCTAATGATCCATTGTCAGGCTGATGGTCCTTCTTGAGCATGTGATCAGCTGGTTTTGGTTGTCAGCAGCAAAACTGGTTGATCCACTCTGAGAAGGTGCTATTTAAGAGACTGAGCTGAAAACAGCACCTCAGACTGAAGAAGTCTCTCGGTCGAGAGACGAAACTTTTCTACATTTTTTGTTGTTTTGCTTTGTTTTGGGTTTTTTTGAATGTCCAGAGGACCAGATTTAACTTTTTTAGATTTTTCTACCTGGATTATTGAGCATGCATCAGGATAAATCTATCTGGCCTTGAATATTTGTACTTACAACTATGTGCTGATATTTTTACTCTCGTCCCATTCTCAAGCGTTGGCTTTAATAGGCTGGAAATCTCTCGACACAAACCTTCGCCTGGCTTGTCCTTCAGACAGTTGCCTGCGTTGACTGTCTGCTCTCCGGTGACGTGCTCGCTGCTGTGTGGCGGCAGAATCGCGGAAAAAGTTTGGGTTGCATCTCAATGAGCAGCTGGAGACGCTAATGAGAATGAAACACGCCCGTCAGTTGCAAAACTCATCGCATCACCGCGAATATTCTTTGGAGCTTTTGGTCACGCGACGACTTTGACACAAACGCTTTATGACTTTTTTTTTTTTTAAAGTTCGACTCTGGGTTCTCGTTGAATCCCCAGATTTTCAGGGAGCAGCTTAACACCCGGATTGTGCTCGTCGCCATGGAAACCTGGTCGGTGGACAACAAGTTCAACATCGACAACGACCCCATGATGACCCTCAAAGAGTTTATGAAGTACAGAAAAGACTTCATCAAGGAGAAATGCGACTCCGTTCACCTCTTCTCGTAAGTCTGGATGCCTAAAATAAGATTTGACTGTGTTCTGTGCAGCAAAGTATTTTACCTCGCTGATTAAAACCTGTTTTTATTTGCAGAGGGAACCGCTTTCATAGCAGCTGGGGTGGAGCGTCGTACATGGGGGGAGTTTGCTCTCTTACTAAAGGCGGGGGTGTCAACGAGGTGAGTTCTTCTAAATTTAGGGTTCTGACTGCAGTTTGCATGATGGACCAGGATGATTCAGAAAGTGGGACTACAACGTTCGCAAGAAAGATACTCTGAAAAGCACAAGTAGATTACAGGTCTGGGTTTTAAGGTAAAACAGGAAATCATATAAGTGGATTAGATCAGTCTGACAATACATTAAAGTGGAAAAGACAAAGACGATAATGAGCTGAAATAAGACATTTACGCTGAAAGAAAAGGAAACATCAAGGAACAAATCTTCATTTTTAAATTTGATCAAAAGCTTCATTAGATCTAGGATATACCCAACATGTAGTCAGGTCTGCTGTTCGTACATTCCTGCTGTATATTCTTGATTTGTTTAACTTAAACTTCAGTCATAGCCTCTAAATTTCTTACTTATTGATTGAGATTTTTAGTTTCTATTAGTCGATTCTGTGCATGTTTCCTGCTTGTGTTTCGATTTTGTTTTAGTTTCTTCTGAACATCCAGAATCTTTTTTTTTTTTTTTACTTCAAAGAAGACTTTAATGCTAAACAACTACCCTTATAATAATCTGTTCTAATTCTAATGAATTCTAATAATCCTTAGAAATTATTTTCTTTGCTCTAATCTAATATCTTTATTTTACTCTTTTCTCTGTTCTGTGTTTACAAGTACGGAAAAACAAATGAGATGGCGATAACCCTGGCTCAGTCTCTTGGTCAGAATATTGGTATTTTTTCTGACAAGAAGAGGATCATCAATGGTATGATTTCAACATTTTCTGAGCTCTTTATACTTTTTTTTAATAACCCCACCTGAAAGCCTCATTTTGGTACTATGTTCAGGTGAATGTAAATGTGATGATCAGTGGGCAGGCTGCATCATGGATGATGTTGGGTAAGTTGACATGAACTTACATTTACTCCTTTCTCTTCTAGAAATCTATCATTTCTCACAGATACTGCAGATTCAGTTGGCCATCTCAGCATTTCTGATAACTTTATTTAAGTTTATTAAGCCTTAACATGCTCCTGTTGGTATAGACATTTAGTCAAATTTTGGATGTGGTGAACATTACCTGTCTTGTTCTGATTACTTTAATATATATTTAAATGCATGCATAAGTCTATTCAAAAAGTAAATATTTACTGGCGTGTTGTTGTAGTTCCATAGTTCACCACTAGGTGTCAGTGCAGGTACATTTATGGGCTCAGTTTGAGTTATTCAGCACTGATTTATGTAATTTCTTACTGGCTGAAAAAAGAAAACAGTGTATCAATAAACTATGTTTTTCTGTGCTGTAGGAGCTTGCTTAGCATTGTGTGGATGTGTTTGTATGTGTGTGTGTTTGTGAATGTATACCCCTTTTCTTAAATACTTCTTGCGTTCCTCCTTTATCCCAAATGGGACAGCAGGTGAGCTGAAGCTTGCTAAACCGTTGCTTGCGCTGGTTTTTGAACAAACCAGCTGCCAAGGAGAGGGTTGCCAGTCATCACAACCTTTCCCATTTCATTCAGCAAAACCTCGACCTCCGCGGCCCCCAGCTTCTCCGTTTTTAAACGACATGAACAAATACACCTCAGTGTGCTGTTTTATGAAACACTGGCTGTATTTTTCATCATCACTTTGTACATTTATACTGTGGTTTAATTTGTATTCTTTAGCTTTTGGCTTATGCCACTGGCTGATCAACAACAAAAACTTTATATTTTTTATTATTCCTTGAAGGCTCCCTCTCTGCTCTGTGTTTTGAAAATTTCAGACCTATCACTTATTTTTGTTCATGTCTATCCGATTGATACAGTCTGCAATGTCATTTTCATTCGATATCAACAATTATCTACTTTGTTTCAGTGTAACAAGTCCCCAACATTGAATTTGTCAATCCTGCTTTACTCAGTGCCAGTCATTAACCTGCCCTTAGAGGTCACACGACAGAGGACTGGTGCTCCTTTTAACCCGCAGCCTGAAAATGGACTGAGGCACAATTTGTACCTCCAAAATCAAGTCAATGGTATTTCAGACGTTCGTATTCAATGAGCGACCTTTTGGTATTCTTCTGTACGTGCATGCCTGATTTACATGACCTGACTTCTAACAGTTTTCATATTGTTTTTACAGGTTGTAGCTGCTGTGTACATTAGCAGGTGTCTAAGTTGTTTGATTTAAACTATACGCAGTCCACATTTAGCACGTCATCCAGATATGTACATTTTGAATATTCCAAAGTTTGCATCATATTAACTTAAGGAATTAAATGTTTTGCTATGAAGGGATAGCTCAGATGTTTTGCAATAGGGTTCTGTGAAAAGTAAAAAAACAAAACATTACCTATTGGAGATAGCACTTTAAAATACCTGTTTGGAGAGATTAAGTATGTGGTGACCACTGAAGAGAGAACAGCCAGAAGAAGAAGAAGAAAAAGAGCAAGCGTTTAATTCTAAACAGATTGATGAGCTAATGGCTAATCCAAGTGGGGTCAACATCAAAGATTGCTTCTGTCTTAAACCAACTTCAAGCTCAAAAATGTCATCACGGCTCTTGCAAACACTGTTTCACACACTGGTACATTGTCCTCTCTTTCACATTTATGGGTATAGACTTTTCTGCTTATTCGCAAGAGCAAAAAGCAGCAACTAGCTGTAGCATTTTTAGCAGGAATGTTGTAATATTTCTGTCAAATTAAATGTTTAATGCAAAGAAATGTGTCAGTTGAATAATGCGCTGAAAGAATTTTAAAAAAGTTTAAGATCCTTTGACTTATTGTGAAAATGATGCTCAAAGTATCAGCTGTGCTGCAAATCTTCTGGATATAAATCTAGGGATCTTTTCTGGTTTGACAGTGTAGCTATCACATAACAAAACTTTAAAAGCAAATCCAAACGTTGCTACATAACACTGCCGTGTAAAAATATAGCACGCTATGAAGGTCAAGTCAAACTATAAAATGGTGTTTTTTCCATATCAGTTCAGTGTTTTGTTGTTTAGAATCAGTTGGAGGGAAATCCTTATTGTAGCTGCAGAGTTTGAGGATGTGTTTTGTATTATGTTCATGTGCTTTGGTTTACTGAACAGTTTCTACCTGCCTAAGAAGTTCTCTGACTGCAACGTGGAGGAATATCACAACTTTCTGAACAGTGGAGGAGGATCCTGCCTGTACAACAAACCTCTGAAGGTACGGCAACGCTCACTCGCACAAACTGACGATCCGCACGCAAACTGTGTGAAGCCTGTATAGTTATAGTTTTAACCATAATCTGTGATTCACTGATACATTTTGTACTAATAAACAGGTACAAAACAACTTATCATAGGAAAGATTATGTTTGAATGACAGAAAAAGTTGTAGAATCCTATAAAACGGTGGTTCTCAAACTCAGGTCCCCGGACCCTCGGGGGTCCGCGAGCTGGTGCTTCGGGGTCTGCAAAGAAACAATAACGTATTTTTCGGACTATAAGGCACACCGAATTATAAGGTGCATTAAGCTAAACTAAAGAGTCAGATAAATCCAACTTTATTTAACTCATTCACAATAACCACATAAAATCAGTTCGAGGTTAGTAAGCGCAACCAAAATTCATACATAAAGTGCACCGGATTATAAGACTCACTGTCGAGTTTTGAGAAAAATTAAAGGATTTTAAGTGCGTCTTATAGTAAAAAAAAAAAAAAAACAGTAATATGTGTATATATTTTTTCTTTTTTTTTTTTTTACAAGCATGTAGATGTTTAACAACCTGTTAAAATACATCAAAATGCAGGAAATCACATCTACTTTATTCAAATTGTTGACAAATAAGACAAAGATGACAAAGTGGCGATACATTTACTATGTTCATTATGCAAATAGGTAAAATTTTAAAGTGTTTTTTTAATACTAACAACAAAGTTCATGCTCAATCATCCAGTTGTCAAATCCAATAATTCTCAGCCAGGTCATCTGGACAATTTTTTTTATAGAGACGTTTCGCCTTCTATCCAGAGGGCTTCATCAGTCAGAGGAGTTCCAGTAAGCTGTTTCCCCACCAAGCAGTAAACTCCTTAAATGGACCAACCAGATTGTTGGAGCTAAGATGGTTTCTGGGGGTCGTCCTGTCCCCCGTCAGGCAGGCAGCCACAGTCAAAGTGGTTCAAGACAACATAGTCGTTTTTTTATAACGTTAATTTTCTCAAACCTTTGATTTTAGGAAGGTGAAATTAAACATTTGGTTAATTGTCTTGAATGAAAAATACCCCATGTTTAAAAGTATAAAAATAGTATTAACACTATTAAAGAATAGGTCTTAAGTATTTATGTTACACAAATATTTCCATTGCATTAAAGAGATAAATTGAAGAAAATTATTTAATAAACATGAGAGTTATGAGGGGGTCCCTGAAACTTTTTCTCCCCTGTAAGGGGTTCCTGAACCCAAAAAGTTTGAGAGCCCCTGCTATAAAAAACACAAGCCAACCCAAAAACCTAACCTGGTTAACAAAAATAGTATAATAAAAAGCATTTAGCTTGCGATTGTGATTGGAAGGTTGTCAGTTTCACTCCTTGGATCGACAACATCAAAATGTGGGTGGTAAAGGTGAAGCACCCACACCTGCCTTCACCCTCATTTGCCCCACTCTGGGCCTTTAACCCCCACCATCTGCTCCCCCGGTTCCCCAGATGGCAGCTCAGCTCCACACAGAGGGCTGTGGTAGCTCAGTGGTCTGTGGTTGCGTCAGGAAGGACATCCAGCATAAAAACAATGACCATGTCTTCGTGTGAGTTAGTTCGCTGAGGAGACCCCTGAGGCCTAAAAGACTGTTCTGTTGTTTTGTTGTAAATTTTAAATGATCCTGAACGCTCCAATGAATAGATTTTCTCAACCTGCTGTTCTAGTGAACGAATAACAGGCTAAAATGCTTTAGTTTACATTTACATTTCATGTAATTCCACAACTGCATTAATAAATTAATAATGTATTTTCACATTATTCTTTTCCCTGTTTCTTCTCAGCTGCTGGACCCTTCAGAATGTGGCAACGGCTTCGTGGAGCCCGGAGAGGAGTGTGACTGTGGCAGTCCAGCTGTGAGTTAAAACACTAAAATAAAAGCAGATTAAACAGAATGTTAAAGTATCAAACTATAGAAAAGTAATGTGTGCTTTCCTATGAGTAGGACAGCCTTTTGCCCCTGCAGCATACCACAGACAGTACTGCCTTCTTCAGTATTTTAGAAGTCTTTTTGTCCAAATATTAGTCATGCACACTTTCTCAGTTAATAAATAGCCAAACCAAACACTTGAATAAGCTTTATATTTGTATTTTGTCCAAGATTGTCCTTAAGAATCTTTTAATCATATTTAATTTCCAATTAAAACTCACCCCTTCACCAGAGCAATATTTGAGACGATGGTCTTCTTTTTATCAAATATGTTCAAAGATAAATGCAAAGAGCAGCTGAGCAGTCTCTGTGTTTCAGGAATGTGCCAAAGAAGGAGAGAACTGCTGCAAGAACTGCACTCTGACCAAAGGCTCCAATTGTAGCAACGGACTCTGCTGCAATAACTGCCAGGTATAACGGGTCGAGCTACACGTATTATTGTCTGCTGGGGTATCAGTGGTGGGGATTGTTTTCTGATTGCTGTGATGGGCTGGCAATCTGTTCTGGATGTACCCCGGCCCTGACTGCTGAAAGATAAGCACAGCTCCTTGTGATAAACGATTGTTAGAACGATAAAGTTTTGAATGGACGAGCCTGTCTTGAAACGACTGATAGTTCTTTGTAATGTTTGAACAGAAAAGCTGATTGGACTCAGACTTGCAGCTTCTTGCAGTGTGTTCAATCTTCATTATTTGCTGCTGCAGATGGAGCTCATGGGAGTTGTGTGCAGAGATGCAGTGAATGACTGTGACATCCCAGAAAACTGCTTGGGCAATTCCAGCCAGGTGAGCGACGTGGGCTGTTTCAAAATCCAGCAAATAAGCTTTAAGCTTGCAGAACATTCCTACACTCAAAGCCTCCTGTTTTTCTTTCAGTGTCCACCGAATGTGCACAAGATGGACGGTTACACATGTGAAAAAGACCAAGTAAGAAGTTTGATGTTTTGTCAAGCTCTTTCTGTATTTGACAAAAAAAAAACCTGAAGTTTGAGATACTTTTTTCTTTACATTTTATCAAAATACAACTTAGTTTTTCTTGTTCTCTTTAGGGTCGCTGCTTCAACGGAAGGTGCAAAACCAAAGACCGACAGTGCAAATACATTTGGGGGGAGAGTAAGTGAGAAGACTTAACATAACCTGTCCTGTATCAGCTGGTAAAGCTCTGTACTTAAAGTTTGTTTCCCTCAGAGGCAACAGCAGCTGACAAGTTCTGCTACGAGAAGCTCAACATCGAGGGGACAGAAAAAGGCAACTGTGGGAAGGACAAGGACACCTGGGTCCAGTGTAACAAACAGTACGCTCGTCGCTTCTGGGACCAGCACCTTCGTGGCTCTTGGTTATTTTCTCTCTGGTTGATCTGGGTTTGCTCCTCTTGTGTTTCAGGGATATTCATTGTGGCTATCTGTTGTGCTCCAACATCTCTCCTGCTCCTCGGCTCGGGGAGCTGCAGGGAGGACTCTCGTCTTTCTCTGTAGCCCAACACAGCGCCTCTCTGGACTGCAGGTACACAACTCTGTTGTTTACATCTACAGCATACTATTTATTAAGGTAAATAAAGATTCAACAAGACGAGAGATTATGTGTAATCTTTGCAACACTGTGTCATTATAAACCCAGATATGTTTAAAACACACACATGCAGTAACTACAACCCAACACAGTGGCTATGTTCTGTTAGAAACTCTGTCTCGTCTCCTGTCCAGCGGCGGCCATGTGCTGATTGATGGAGACACTGACCTGGGATATGTGGAGGACGGGACGGCCTGTGGAACAGACAGCATCTGCTTCAACCACAAGTGTCTCCCAGTTCAACAGTTCAACTTCAGCACCTGCCCTGGGACCACTGACAAGAGCATCTGCTCCGGGAACGGGGTACACAGCAACATGACTCCTGCACAAACATTCCCCTGAAACTGTTCAGTTTCACATCAGAGTTTTGTTGACTTTTAAAATTATAAATTTATTTGTTGTCTGTCTCCACTTACATTTAATGGATTTAATGGGGGTTGAATTTTGCTTCCCAGATTCTCCTATTAATTTACTTGACTTTTTTTTTTTTTTTTTTCAAACAAAACAAAAATATTGCCCCTGGTAGCATCTCCCAAGGCAGGTTGGTCCTTGGTGGCAGGACGGACAAAGAGCGATTCAACACACTCGTATAGACCAAAACAAACAAAACAAGGAGCTTGTTGTCCCTTGCCTGGATGTGGGTTACTGGAACCCCACCCTGGAGCCAGGCCTGGTGACTGGGTCTCTACCCAAGGGGCCCGGTCAGGTTCAGCCTGAATGAGTAACATGGGTTTGTCCTCCTGTGGACCCACCATCTGCAGGAGGGCCCATACATGGTGCATGACGCCATGTGCAGGGTCTGAAAGTAGGAGCCTTGGCGCTCTGACCCTGACTTAGAGATAGGGTGAGAAGTTCAGTTAGCTGGGAGGGTCAAAGTAGAACCACTGCTCCTCCACGTTGAGAGGAGCCAGTTGAGGTGGTTCAAGCATCTGGTAAGGATGCTCCCTGGACACCTCCCTAGGGAGGTGCTTCGGGCATTTCCGACTGGGAGAAGACCCCGGGGAAGACCCAGGACATGCTGGAGAGACTATGTTTCTCGGTTGGCCTGGGAACACCTTGGAGTCCTCCCATAAGAGCTGGAAGAGGTGGCTGTGGAAAGAGATGTCTGGACCTCCCTGCTCAAGCTGCTGCCCCAGCGACCCGACTTTAGAACCAGCGCAAGAGGATGGATGGATGGATGGATGGATGGATGGATGGATGGATGGATGGA